AGCAATTCTGTGTGTGATTCTGTGTGTGTGAAGGCAGCACGCTCTCTACGTGTCATGTCAGGCTGCTTCTAACATTTGCCAGGTTACGTAGTGGCAAAAGTGAAATAATATTTTTTTAAGAGGTTTTGTCGTTGTTTGGGGTTTTTTGTGTGGTTTGTTTTGTTTGCTAACTGAGGGTTGTTATGGATTTGCGGGTATCAAAGAACACTCAGATTTACTTGCAAGAGTTGTAATTTCTGTTCATCGTCAAAATGTTGTTGTTTCAGTGCCATGGTCTGTCCATTGATGGGTATGTCCTTCCTTCGTCAACCACCAGAGAGGTACAGTAAAATGCCAACAATTTTCTAGCCCCATGATCGGGTGTTTGGTTCGACAGCGTAGGATGCAGCAGGGCTGCTGTTGCAGATGCTTGGTTTTATGGTCAGGAGATCTGGACCTTGCCCCAGCACTTCTGCCAGCTTCCCCGGGGCTGTGCAGATGCGTTCCTGCCGGGCAGGCATGGGAGCAGGTTTGGGCAGGTTTTCCCATTTGCCGAGCCTGCCCTCTGCACGCTTTCGCTGACCCTGTGCGCCCACAGAGCAGAGCTTGAAAGAGAGTGCCTGGTGGCAGGGTGAGGAGAGAGCACAGCTTTGTTGGAATAAAGCAGGCACGTTGCTCGCTGCTTTTTTTTTTAATATGCTGCAACAGCAGCCAGCGTATTTCGGCATCACAGTCTCAAAAGTAAATACCAGTTAAGGATGGTTGTTTCTAACCAAGGCTTTGACTCTTTACATCCATAACCTTTCCTTACCTTTTGTTTCCTTGGTTGGAATGCCACTCTGTCTTTAGGCACTCTGGCAAGTTTTGAGTTCACATCTATAAAACAAACTCTTGGGAACAGTAATCCATCAGCACAAGAGAGGTGTTTGTGTGCCTGAGACTGTTGTCCTGTCTGGTTCCCTCAGGTTTGTCTCTGGTGGTAACACCTGAAGAGAGGAGCTGGAATTTTTTGCCAGATCTAAACCTTTTCTTTTTTCTTTCCCCAGAATGGAGAGCTTTATTTATTCTCATTGTGTAGATAAATAGGCTTATATTTTTAACCTGTCAGACCTAGACAGTATCTAATTTTGCTGTTTAAAGGAATCAAAGGAAATAAGCACAAGCTTCCTAAGGCAGCACCCTTTCATATAGCATCCATACAGCTACGCCAGTGCAAATAAGGCTGCTCTGCAAACAATATAGCAAATACCTCTGTGTGAAGAAGCAGTCACCCTACGCAGGTGGCTATTTTTAAAACTCAACAGTAATTGTGGCTTTGCAACGAACCTGCGATGCCAGAAAGATACTTACAAGGCAGGGTGTGCAAGGAGCAAAGAGTTGGTGTCCAGCTAAGCATCAGCAGTCCTGTGTGCAGCTAAAGCATGCGTGCGATGGGCTGCAGGGCTGGAGCAGTCTTTGGGAAGGTGTGTAACCGTTTGCAGGATCAGGGCCCAGCGACACAAAGTTTCTGGAAGCGCTAAAGCCGTGCAAACATTTTGTTTGCTTCAGTCAGGCTGCCCCCGTGTGCGGAGAGGAGCACAGGGCTAAGGGCTTGCAGGATGTGGAGGACTGGTCTTTTGGATTTGTCAGTTTTGCTTTCCCTCTCCACTCGAACTTGCCAGATGACCCCGTGCGAAATCAAGTTTGCTGTGCACGTGGAGTCGGTGCTGAACCACGTACCCCAGCCCGAGTACAGGCAGCTCCTGGTGGAAGCTATTCTGGTCCTCACGTTCCTCTCCGACGTCGAGGTGAACAGCATCGGGGGCATCATCCACGTGGACCGAATCGTGCACGTGGCCAATGACCTCTTTCTGCAGGAGCTGGTGAGTTCACAGGGCAGCAGGGGGAAGCCTCTGCATTTGAAAATCATTCCCTGCCCCTTTTTTAATATGGTGAACTTGATCTTATCCTTATTCTTTCCCCTACAAAGACAGACCAAATCGCTTAAGTATCTTCTGGAAATATATTTGGAAAACTAATTTAGGAATTGTGGGAGATGTAAAGGGAATAAAATTGTAGAGGCTAGCAAGCTCTGAAGTAAGCAGGTAGATGGAAGTGAAGTTTTCTTTCACCAAAGCATAGAATTACCAACATTGGAGTAATCCCATCCGTGCCCCTCAAAGGACAAAAATCTGTGAAATTATATGTTCCTCATTTACTTATCCTGATCCAACTAAGTCATGTGGGTCCTATAATCCTGATAAAGGTTTTCATGAGGGAAAGGAGAATTGCTTTCAATATCAGCACAAATGCAAAATCATCATGTGGCAGGTTTGTTTTCCAATAAATAAGCATGCACCCCTAACATTCCCCTCCTTGTTTGCTTGTGTCTTTTCAGAAATCATTTGGAGCTACTGGTAGTATCTTGGAGAAAGACATAGCCACCGGAATTTGCCACTTCTTTTATGACAGTGCTCCAAGTGGGGCCTACGGCACCATGACGTACCTGACAAAAGCCATAATTATTTATTTACATGATTTCCTGCCTAGCACCGGCTGTGCGATGCAGTAAGCGATGCCTCATGCGGGAGGGAAGGCTCAGAAGCCCTTTCTCCCCATTGCCCTGTTGTGAACCTCTCGTTTAGTTGCTACACACACGTGTGCCATGCACTACCTCAGCATTTCACGCTAGTCGTAATGCTACGTGCACGCCTACCTGCGGGGGAAAAGGTAGGTGGAATTTGGCCTGGTTTTAAGAGTGTGTGAGAAATAACAAATAATAAGGCTTCTTGTGCCCAAAGTGCATAAATGTAATTCATATTATATTAGCAAGAGTTATTCGGTTCTGCCGAGGGGAAGACAGATTACTCTGTGGAGATCAAAAGGCATAATAAAACGAGGGAGCTGTATCTCAGGCATAAAGACTCCCAAATAAGGAAAGTGATGGAATTCATTAATTTTTCTCCTGCTGCGTGTAAATGTACATCATTGTGAATCACTAATGCACAGTGTGAAACATCCAGGGAAATGTAAATTAGAGGAATAGGAATAATGTGAAATAACTGGGTGATATTTCTAATGTTTGTCCTTATTCTCATCTCGTTTGCACCTCGTCAGTGCAGGGCTAATGCCGGTAGAGACAAATGTCCTACAATATCCACTAGTTTGAGAGGATAGCCTCTCTCAGGAAGCTGCATCTGTCTTTAATCTGAACGAAATAGCTTCCTCCCCTGCATCCCTGAGGCTTTGGAAGCAAAAATCTCAAGACTCCAGCTTCTCCAAGGTGACAGACAGTTTTATGCCTGTAATCCCTTCCTCTGAATGGAGCAAGATAAACCTCTTCCACTCGAGCACCCTCTCCAAGTCTCCCGATACTTTCCCTTGCAAATAGCCTCAGAGTTAAGAATGGCATAATTGCCACCCTTCCCTCGCAGCGTGAGTTTATGGAAGGCTTTGATGTTGCTCTCTCTTTTTTTTGTCTTTCCCTTTTTTCTTTTTTCTTTCTTCTTTTTTTGTGTTCAATTTGAAGTCACACTTGTCACATGTAGTTAGGGATGGGCTGCCTGGAGGTCTCCCTTCAGACAGCTCCCAGGTTGGTGCCTACGCCTGGCATCTCCCTTATGAGGAACGGCTGAGGGAGCTGGGTCTCTTTAGTTTGCAGAAGAGGAGACTGAGGGGAGACCTCATTCATGTTTATAAATACTTAAAGGGTGAGTGTCACGAGGATGGAGCCAGGCGCTTCTCGGTGACAAACAATGATAGGACAAGGGGTAATGGGCACAAGCTGGAACACAGGAGGTTCCACTTAAATTTGAGAAGAAACTTCTTCTCAGTGAGGGTGACAGAGCACTGGAACAGGCTGCCCAGAGAGGTTGTGGAGTCTCCTTCTCTGGAGACATTCAAAACCCGCCTGGACGCCTTCCTGTGTAACCTCATCTAGGTGTTCCTGCTCCGGCAGGGGGATTGGACTAGATGATCTTTTGAGGTCCCTTCCAATCCCTAACATTCTGTGATTCTGTGATTCTGTGATCTGTCCACTGGAAACCAGTTCCTGCAGCTGCTGGGAGGAGGAAGATAGGTGTGTCCTGCAGGGAAACAGCTCTGTAGCCATTTAAACTGAAAGCAGAGGTAGTGATGCCTCTGGAGGGAAAAACTCTGTTTTACTGCAGGCGGTGGCTGTGTTTTCCCTTGTGCTGCTGCTGCTGGTTGTGCCACCAGGCAGCACTTACCTGGCTGGCAGCTTAGGAAAGGGGCTGTGGCTGGGGCCCCTC